GTTTGAATCATAGGCCTAAGGATTACCTTCTAGAGTGTCAGACTCTTGCAGTGTGGGACAGCTATCAGTGTAATGGTCTGTAGCTGAGTAAATACCAGATAACATGGCTGGAATAGATGGTGGAGGATGTGAAGATGCAGCAAAACTCTTTTGCACGAAAGCCAATTGCTTCACCATGGATGCCAGTTCATCAAGTTTGTGCTCCAACTTACTAGATTCAGCAGCTTGTACTTCACTCACATTTCTGGCAACACAAGAGTTTTGCCTTGTTGCAAATTGTTGTGAGTTAGCAACCATATTCTCTATCAAATTCTGGGCTGCAACTGGGGTTTTGTCAACCAACGCCCCTTTACTTGCGGCATCTATCATGCTTCGGTTCATAGGATGTAGTCCCTCATAAAAGTATTGGATCAACAATTGATCACTAATTTGGTGGTGAGGGCAGCTAGCACATTGTCTCTTGAACCTTTCTCAATATTCATAAAGGGTTTCTCTTTCAAACTGCCTTATCCCACAAATTTTCTTCCTTATGGACGCAGCTCTAGATGCTAGGAAAAATTTCTCCAGGAAAGTCTCTTCAAGTTGTCCTAACTGGCAATAGATCTTAGAGGGAGATAGTAGAGCCAATCCTTGGCTGCATCTATCAGAGAGAACAAAAAATTCTTTAATTTGACATGCTCCTCGGGCACACCTTGTGGCCTTATGGTTGAACAAACAATGTGGAACTCCTTGAGGTGTTTGTGCGGATCCTAACCTGCAAGGCCATGAAATCTTGGCAACAAGTGTATTAGTCCAGTTTTTAGAACAAAAGAAGCGTCAGTCAAGATACTGTATTCATAAAGTTTGATATGTCATATTCGGTGCAGCCAGTTCCTTTAATGTTCTTTCATTGTCAGCCATTTTTTCAAATACAGATTCTAAAGAATGAGGTGATGAATAGATAGATGAAGGAGATAAAGACTCCTCAAAATGTTCAGAATTATGTCTATGTGTTCTAATGCTACTATGAAATGTCTTGTCAATCTCTGAATCAAGTGGATAAAAGTCTCCAGGATTAGATCTGGTCATGCACTAAAAACTAACTATGAACAATGGAAAGAAGTAAACTAGATGAAACAGCAAAAATGCAAAAAAATCCAGATGACAATTATACAGAAAACTAATGTCTAAGTGCAGTAAAATAAAGTATCAACACTAAACAGGAAAAATAGAAAGAAGTTGCAAACTATGGTAAGAAAAACGTAACACACACTCACAAATTCTGCAAAATTATGCAGCAAAAATAGGACAAAATGCAGAAAAATCAAAAAATAGAACACCAAAACAGAGCAACTAACAAGTTCAATGCAAAATTAATACCAAAGTCCCTGGCAACGGTGCCAATTTGATGAACGAATTTTCGTTTCGCATAAAGATTTGTCGTCAACCTTCATCAAAGTATGCAGAAAAATTTGTAGTATCTAGGGTGCAAGCCTAGGTTGTCTCCGATGACTTTGGTTTGCAACATACATTGAACATGTTGTAAACATTTACTATAAAAGCAATTAAAACAAGGGAGTTTTGTGTGATTCCAATTTTAATATAAAGGCAAGTGATGAAATTAATGAGTCCAATCAATGAAATGTGCAATCCTTAGTTTGTTCATGTAATTCTATCCTATCCCTCTCAAGATTCAATACTTTTCATCTTCCTCTGAATTAGGGTAACTCAAAAAGCAAGAATTTACCTTAAAGTCTCATACGAATTAAGCAATTTACATGGGCTTTAACCCTTTTCCCTAAGATTATGCAACCTTAGAAATTAACTTAGGATTAAGCAAACCAAGTTAAAAATTTTATTAAAACAAATTAGGGTTAATTAAGCAATGTCTCCCTCATTCAAACATTCATTCAATTCAAAGAGTTGGGAAATATAAATTCATAAAGGAAAGGGAATTATATTGACATTCATATTGAGGAATTCAAGAATTCATGAACTCACTAAGGATTACAAGAAAGTTTAGCCCTCCATGAAGATGAGTCTTACAAATTTAAGATGAAAGCAAAAGGAATTCAATGACATTAATGCAAGAATTAAAGGAAAGTGAAGAGAAATTATAAATCAAACCCTAACATTGGCCCTGGTTGTCACCCAAGGATCCTAAGCTCTACAAAATGCTCCCAAAGTGGCAAAAGAATCTAAAATTATGAAAATTCCGTACCCTAATTTCTAAAAATTTATATATACTAAGTCTGACATGGCCTCATATTGATCACTCGTAAATAAGAGTGATTACTCTCAGTAACTTTAGATTTTTTCCTTTCTGGAGTGATCACTATGGTACCTAAGAGTGATTACTCTCAGTTTATATTTTCCCTAAGAACCAAAAATTCATAAAATTTGTCTAGAATTTCCTGCACAATTATTCAAATGATCAAAATTACAAAATATATTCACAAAAATTAGCGAAAATAAAACAAAAATTAAGAAAGTTATAATATTTGACCTAAATGAGGTTTTCATGTTATTTACAATCTCTAAGTCTATTTTTCATATTAAAATTCTATAAAAAGCTAGACAAAATATCTATAAATTGTGGATTCATCAGTCATAACCAAGTTACCTTTGGTAAGCTTCCATTTACCAAAACCAAAGTGATTGTCATAACAATATCATCAAGCAAGTGAAACATGTTTGACTCCTCTAAGGAACAGCTGCACTCCCATGTTGGTTTTTAAGCAAACATCACCAACACCAACAACCTGTGATGCACCATCATTACCCATCTTCAACACTCCAAAATCACCAGAAGTGTAAGACGTGAAGAACTTCTTCCTCAGTGTAACATGCAGTGTAGCACCACTATCAATTATCCACATGCTCTTATCTGATACAAGATTAACAAACTCATAGTCACAAAGAAGAACAAGATCACCACATGTAGTAGTAGGGACATGATCATCATCATGATCTTTCTTTCTGCTTACCCTTCTTGCCATTGCTCTCCTTTTTTCCATAGAAAACAATTCCTTTGGATGTGCCCATTTTTATTGCAATAATAGCACTCTACATTCTTGTATCTTGACTTGAACTTGGTCCTGCCCTTCTCTTTACCACCCTTTGGTTCCTTTTTCTATCTTCTCCCTCTATTTTTTGTGACAAGCACCTAAGATTGAGATGAAGAACCTTGTGTCTTCCTTCTCATCTCCTTGTTAAGAGCACCATTCTTTGCCATTTGCAAAGAAACAACGCCATTGGGGGCTGAGTTTGTAATTGAAACCCAAAATATCTCCCAAGACTCAAGTAGAGCATTCAGTAGTCATAGTCGTAAAACTTTATCATCAAAATTGATACCCATTCCTGATAGTTGATCTAAGCGTCCTTGAAACTCATTCAAGTGATTTGAAATGGAAGAGTTCTCCCTGTATCTCAAATTCATCAAGCAATTCAACAAATACAACTTATTGTTGCCTGACTTAGAAGCATACAAGGACTCAATCTACTCCCACAAAGTTTTAACATGTGTCTTATTAGCAATGTGATTATAAACATTGTCTTTTATGTATTGCCGAATAAAACCACACACTTATTGGTGCTCAAAGTCCCATACTTCATCAGACATAGAATCCGGCTTCTGAGTAGCAAAGACTGGAAGATGCAATTTCTTGACAAACAACAAGTCTTTCATCTTGCCCTTCTACAAATGATAATTTGTACCATTCAAAGTAACCATCTTTGTATTTGCCTCCATCATTCAAGCAAGTAAATAAAGCCCCAAACCAAGGAGCTCTGATACCACTCTGATGGGGAAAACAACATAAATAACCAAAATTATCAAAGTACACAACGGAAATAATTTACCCAACTTGCAAGAATCAACGAGGAGCAACAACCACAGAAAAAGATAATAGAAATAACAGAGAGACAAATATTTTTAACGTGAAAAAACCCTCTCAATATGAGAAGTAAAAACTCACGGATACAAGCCATTAAATCAAGTTCTACTATGATAAAATACGGGGTACAAGAGAGTTTAATTAAATGCACAAACAAGTGCTTATAATCAGCCAATATATCAAAGCAATAAAGCTTCTAATTTGAAGAACGAAGAAGAATCCTAAAAATTAAACAACTGTGCAAAATTGATTTCTCCAACCACAAACTTCCAATCCACGATCCCAACTCTCAGAAAAGGAACACTGTGTTACGAATCTACTGTCAAATTTTCAACCCAATCCAACAGTGAACGAAGCAAAAATCGCAATTTTACTGAGGCTAATATGTGAATATGCAAACTAGTTTTTCTGCCCTCTTCTTCTCTTCTTTCTCTCCCAAAAGGCTGCGAAATTAACACCCACTCTTGCCCTAGAAGATCCCTCTCCACTTGGGTTAAGTGAGACGAAATAGCCTTAACAAGTTTGGACTTTTTTGCATACATAGTTGGGAGTACAACCCAACAATATTATCACATAAAGTATAAAAAGGCAACAAACAACCTTCATAGGCATAAAACTTGAGTTCCATATAAATAATTACAATAATGAGTTATTTCTCATTTATAACAAATCGAATCAAGCTAACACTTTCTAGTATATTAATATTTTTAACTAATCAAATTTTGATTTAATTTAAAATTAAGTATTATCACTTGAAACTAATTTCACCAAATATTAGTGAGACGAAACTTTGTTAGTCACTCAAATTTAAATTTAAAATAATGTTACCAATATTATTTGTAAAAATTTATATGTTTTAAAGGAAAGTTTTGCCTCAAATTTTTTTATATGATAATAATAATAATAATAAATTACATATTGCAAGTTACAAAACTAATGAATATATTTCTACCAAAAAAAAACTATTGAATATATGTCCAAAATCACCTAACAACAAAATTGTTTTGAAAATATTATATTTTAATAAATATTTTATGAAAAATTATATATAAAAGAGCCACCATTTTGTTTATCGCTGTCTCACTCCCACCGTTGTGCATAGTTGCAAGAAGTGTTTTATTCCTACTTTCTAACAAATACCCTCCAACACCAACAAAAACATTCAAAATCCCACAAATGCCTCCTCAAGTTCCCGGACCAACTAAACCCAACAAGAAGTTATACTTCTTCTACGGTCACCGCAAACCCTCCCAGAACCGCCCAACCGTTCGTGGAGGCCTCTTTTCTAATCGCGAAACCCTCACAAACCGTTCGAAACCCAACAAGACCCAACCCTTTGACATTAGTAAGTGGGACCCTCACTTGCTCTCCAACCCAAACCCCGCACCATCACCAGAAGCCTCGTTCTCAGCCTCCATACGCCTATCTCCGATCGCGCGTTTCGTGCTCGACGCATTCCGCAAAAACGACGACAATTGGGGTCCTGACGTGGTGTCGGAGCTCAACAAACTCCGAAGGGTGACCCCCAATGTGGTTGCGGAAGTGCTCAAAGTGCAAACCAATTACACCATTGCTTCCAAGTTTTTTCATTGGGCTCGCAAGCAGAAAGGTTACAACCACAATTTCGCTTCCTACAATGCCTTTGCGTATTGTTTGAACCGCGGCAATCAGTTCCGGGCAGCAGATCAGCTCCCGGAACTGATGGACTCGCAGGGCAAACCGCCGAGCGAGAAGCAGTTTGAGATTTTGATTAGAATGCACTGTGATGCCAACCGAGGGCTTAGGGTTTATCACGTTTATGATAAGATGAGGAATAAGTTTGGGGTGAGGCCTAGGGTGTTTTTGTATAATAGGGTTATGGATGCATTAGTTAGGACGGGGCATTTGGATTTGGCGTTGAAGGTTTATGATGATTTCAGGGCGGATGGGCTCGTTGAGGAGCGCGTGACTTTTATGGTTTTGATTAAGGGGCTGTGTAAGGCTGGGAGGGTTGATGAGATGCTGGAGGTTTTGGGGCGGATGAGGGAAAAATTGTGTAAGCCGGATGTGTTTGCGTACACTGCTTTGGTTCGGATTATGGTTCCAGAGGGGGATTTGGATGGGTGTTTGAGGGTTTGGGAGGAGATGAAGAGGGATGAGGTGGAGCCAGATGTCATGGCTTATGCTACCCTGATCACGGGTCTGTCTAGAGGGGGGAGGGTTGAGGAGGGGTATCAGTTGTTCAAGGAAATGAAGAGTAAAGGTTGTTTGATTGATAGAGCGATATATGGATCGCTGATTGAGTCATTTGTGGCAGGGAATAAGGTTGGCTTGGCTTTTGATTTGTTGAAGGATTTGGTGAGCTCAGGGTATAGGGCTGATTTGGGGATCTACAATTCCCTTATTGAAGGTTTGTGCAATTTGAAGCGGGTTGAGAGGGCTTACAAGCTTTTCCAAGTTGCTGTTCGGGAGGGTCTTGAGCCGGACTTTGTAACCATTAAACCATTATTGGTGTCTTATGCTGAAGAAAATAGATTGCAAGAATTTTGTGAGTTGGTCAAGCAGATGAAGAAATTGGGTTTTTCGGTTATTGAGGATCTCCCCAAATTTTTCTCCCTCTTGGTGGAGAAGGGGGGACCGATGATGGCATTAGAGGCATTTACTCACTTGAAAGCAAAAGGTTACGTTAGTGTTGAGATATACAATACTCTTATGGATTCTTTTCACAAGATTGGTGAGATGAAGAAAGCATTATCACTATTTGATGAATTAAAGTGCTCAAACTTGAAACCTGACTCATTTACATATAGTGTTGCGATTCTATGCCTTGTTGATCTTGGTGAAATTCAAGAGGCATGTGCTTGTCACAATAACATCGTTGAGATGTCAAGCATCCCTTCTGTTGCTGCTTATAGATGCCTTGCTAAAGGTCTTTGCAAAATTGGAGAGATTGATGAAGCCATGATGCTTGTCCGGGATTGCTTAGGCAATGTTACTAGTGGACCAATGGAATTTAAGTATAGTCTTACCGTTATTCATGCATGTAAATCAAATGATGCTGAAAAGGTGATTGATGTATTAAATGAGATGATAGAACAAGGTTTCCCTCCAGATAATGTCATATATTCTGCTATCATCTCTGGCATGTGTAAGCATGGAACAATTGAAGAGGCCAGGAAGGTTTTCTCAAACATGAGGGAGCGCAATTTCTTAACAGAATCAGACACAATTGTGTATGATGAATTACTAATTGATCATATGAAGAAAAAAACAGCAGACTTGGTGCTATCAGGTTTAAAGTTCTTTGGTCTAGAATCTAAATTAAAATCAAAGGGTTGTAAGCTGTTGCCAAGTTGAAGACAATTGTGGAGACTGTTCTCATTTTTTTTCAACATGTTGAATGCAGAAAAACATTTACGGTCAGCCATTGTTTTATTTGGTTCTTGAGTCTCTTCCTTCTGGTATCTGATATATTCAATTTAGTGGCTGTGAACACTAATATATTACCGAGAATTAGGCATGTGTTGCCAGATATTGTTGCATATCCTATAACAACGGACAGTTGCATGATGGAGGTCCTAACTTCTGAGTTTTCATAGATTGCATCCTTTAACAAACCAAGTCACTCAAGAAAGGTCATTTGACATCAAACCATAGCATAAACTCGTAAGTGCTTCATTAGTATATATGTAATTATAACTATCAATTGTTAGTGCTCTTTACATCAATCTATTTTGAAATGAAAAATGGAATATAAATATTTTAATATGCAATTTTTATATAAAGGTTATAATTAAGACTTAAGAGTATTATTGTGATACAAGCATTTAAACAAAATCTCTTTGCTCACAGTTAATCCACCTTTCTCTATCCTTGCATTAGGTTTTAGCCTTTGTTGGAACCTAATAAAGAGGCCTTTTAGCTACCTTTTAGAGAATATGCATTTTGGTTCTCACGTTGAAGTAGTATATGTGAGAATATTAAGGTAGATGAACAGTTGTACGAGAAAGAAAAGGATAAAAAATGATAGTATATGTGAGAATATTGGAGTAACACCTATAGTAAAAAATATAACAAAAAACCGTGTAAGGTAATTTAGTTAAGTGTAGAGAAGACATTTGGAGGCACCAGTGAAGGAGTGGATGACATGACTTTTAGTCCAATAAAAGGAGGCAAAGGAGACCCAAAAGAACCTTAGAAAAAGTTATTTAAAGAGATCTTTTGATTAATAATATTTCTAAAATTTAGTTTTTGACCGAGTTCAATGATATCATATGATCCATGTAGCTGACTTTGTCTAGTAGGATAACACTTGGTTGTTGTTGTTGAAGTAGTATATGTAGTCTTTGTGTTGGACTTCATTGTTAACCATAAAAATCTGAACATACGTTAATTGAACTTTATCTTCTTTTGTATGCAAATTGATGGCATGTTTGTTATGTAAGTTTGTAGAACTATGTATTAACACTTGTTACATTTACCAGCTATTTCAGAAGCATGTGAGTAGCTTTTACAAGGACGAGCTATGGTTATACTCATCATACTGGACTACCTGCCATTTCTGCTATTGCTGCACAACTTAACTGTGGACGAAAGCATGGTTGTGAGATAACCCTGCTAGTAATAGAGCAAGTAAGACACCTTTACATTTACTTCCTTTGTTATCTGCTTTATGTTGTGGTGTGTGATGATTACATGTTCTCCACTTTTAAGTATCTACTTGAATGCAACTCTGATGCTAAGTTACTATTCCTTTAGAATTTGAAACATTTTTGTTTAAAAATACGAATCTGACGATGCTAAACTTTTGACTCCTTTTTTGGACTACCAAAATCCTCAAGATTTTGTTTAAGGAGGTAGTCCAGATTATACCAACCTTAATATGATGAAGTTTTTCCTTACATTCATGTCTGTATATGATTAGAATTAGTGAAACATACACTATTGACCAAATGTTTAGAAGAATGAATCAATATATTTAAATCTTCCAACCTAAGAAGGAAAAGTTGTTTCTGAATACTGGGTGCATGTGATTCTGTTTTTCTTAATAACTGATCTCCGCAATCTGGACTGGACTGTATCATATATCAATATTCTGTGAATAAGATTTCAAGTTTCAAATATCATGGTTTCAATTTTAGTTGATGAGGAATGATAGGAACACACTCTAAAATACTTTTTTTTAACACCTATTTATTGGTTAAAATTTATTGAAAATTACAAAATTATAAGAGAGAATCATTTAATTAAGAGTGGAACACATGATTTTTGAAATTTTAATAAATTTTAGCCTATAACTAAGAATGTATTAGGTAGTGTGCTGCTAGCATATCTCTTATTATCAATAGCTTTTAAACAATTTGATTGGAACAGAATGATATAAAAGCAGATAGTATTTTGATGAAACCAAAGATGGTGAGCATGAACTCTTTCAAAGGAAAAACCAAAGCCGAGGCTCTTCAGAGAATTAGTATTATTTGTCTAACAACCAGGAAACAAATGAATGAGGCATTCAAACCTATTCTTTGAAAAATTTGTGCTAGTATTCTTGGATGACATTTTGTTGTACATCTTGGATTGGCAGTCCAATTTATTTCACCTGTTCGAGATGTTGAATGTTCTGAGGAAACAACAAATGTTTGTTAATAAAAAGAAGTTCCACTTCGCCCAATTGTCTGAGAATACATTGGGCACATCATTTCTCAAGCAGTAGACATGGATAACAAATTGGCCAACTCAGCAGCAGGTAACTAACTCTCACCCCAACACGCTTCTTTTTCTTACATGTATACACTTTTCATATTTTTGGCTTCCCATAGGCTGATCCATATCTTGTATTACTTCATGATCCACACTACTCATTTTCAGTACTCTATCTCAATTCAACAACAATATGTAGTATAAAGGACTTGGAACATGTCTCGCAGTTCAATCAGTGGAAGAGACCTTGACGTCATTGTGGTTCTTCCACAACAGCCTGAGCCTGATGATATACAACTGTGTTTGGAACCCTGCTAGACCGAAGTAAGCTTTAACTGGGTAGAGACGTAACCTTACCAGCCCATGGTTCAAAGATTATGCCTTGGGCTGTTTCCTTGAACCCTGTGACTTTGGCCATGATAACCCTGAGAACCACATGGTTATGGGTTGCATGTTCAGATGCGGAGAGAATGCTAAGGATACTATAATCAAATAAACACTAATACAGTCTTATCCGATTTAGACATGTATTAAAGATCAAATTACATTGACTGTTTTCTGTGGATGTTTGGGTGTGGTGCTTCAATGTTTTTGTAATTTCGATTCATTTTTGTTACAATGGAGGTAAAGCTCTCCTAATAGTTTCAAGTCTTGTAATTTGTATTAATGGATTTCAATTTAACAGGGAATGATTGCTGCTTTAACAAATGAAAGTGCCACTGCTGCAACGCTAAGGGATCCCAGATCTGAAATTCATAAATGCTCGTCTGTATTTTTCAGCATTTCATTAATCGCACTTGGTTGTAGTACTGTTGAAATTTTGATAAAATGATTTTCAAGTACCAAGTCTGATGCTTTATATTCACATACCCCTTTCTCCCGAGATAAATCTAACACTTCAGATATTATGTTTTTTATTTCGATAATATCAATTACGTAAACACGCTATACTTCAAGAAGGATTTTCATTAGGTGAAAGATTCGTGAGCTTACATTAAGCGTGATTTTCTGCTGCCTCTGGCTATTGTTCAAGTGTACATCAAAATTTCTTCTTTTTTTTCTCGTCATACTCCAATATTTTAAAAATTGACGGTTCACAGAAAATGACGTATTTAGTTTACATCTCCCACTCCAGTCGATCTATTGAAAAACAGATTGCATCAATTGAATTCATGAATTGACAGCATAATCTAAAAATTCATGGATTTATAATGTTTATAATGACAATTGACGTAAGGTTGTTGCCAAGTAGAATGTCTTATTCATTGCTTACTCAAGTAACATAAAAGGCTCCTGACAGTTTTGAGAGGGGGGTCGCCTTTTAAGTAACTCCAAAGGGATTTGTGTTCGCTGATAATGGTTGTTAAAATCAAGAGTAAAATAAAACTATTTTACACGCTGTCATGTTTAAGTGTGAAAAACTATGAAGACATAATGAACTTACCATTTCGATTTGTTGGTATTTCAATAAATAGTATATTTTTACCTACATACGTAGAAATTAAGTGATGATTACATTATAAACCTTTATAAGGTTACAATTTAGATTCATCTTACATGATTACTGCATTTTCAATTGAGATTTGACGACAAGCTAAACTATGCAACATGAACTGAGGGAAACTAGAAGCTCAAAAGAAAGACACTACCTTGCCCCTCCCTCCACATTCTAGGGCAGCATGATCATCCAAGGAAAAACTATACATTTAGTGGCGCGATGTAAATTTAAGCTTCCCTTCTGGGTCTGTTGCGAGCACGTGGAAGGGAAAGTTCTTCTTGCACAAAAGCTTCTATAATATCCTCCTTGTTGTCATAGTCATCGTTGTCGTCGTCCTCGTCATCTTCGTCATCATCCCTATCATCAACTTCCATGGTAGCTTCATTCTTTGCCAACTGGTATTTGCAAAATGTCAAAAAATCAGGGAAAAATAACACTTCCATAAAACCAATTTCCTCATTAACAACAATAATCACCAATTCAGCATATTATTTATCAAAACAGAGAATAACTGACAACTATTGTTAAAAGGGATCGGTTAAGAGACTTCAATTCTACAGATGATTGGCTAAAACTTTGAGTGTAGAGGCACAAGTAGATTTCATATACTTTATAGGACCTGTAAATAGAATCACATATCCTCTATGCATGTTGTCTACTGAATCAAGTGTTTCAGAAGGGTGGAACTATTGGAAGAAAATTATTGATTCTGTTCTTTATAGAAATGGAAGATCAATTTTGCAGAATTTCTGATTCAAAGATTCAATAGTTTGATCTTGTTAAGTCTTGAATTGGGATAAGACAAAATAAGACCTTCTATTAAGGAGCTCATAGATGCTATAACAAAACTATGTAAGACGCTATCCCAAATGTGAGAAAAATCCATCTTTCTTTCCTTTTTTAATCCTCATATTGTCACAAGACTCATGATAACGGATAAAAGACTCTTTGGAAGTACCACACTGAGATATGTTAACAAAGTTTGAGTGTTAAAAAAGTTTATTAAAAGAAATATGTTAAAAAATTTACATTATTAACATTTTTTAGTTTATTACTATAAGAAATTCTTTATAAAAAATAATTTTTTATCTTAAATTATAAATATCTTATGTCTTCAAATTTAAAAGCACGTGCGGAATTTCTTCAAACATGTAGAAGACATGTTAGAAGATTCAATGACCAACGAAAAAGCTTCACATTACCCAGAAGAGTCAATTATCATTAAGAAAGAGGGTTAAACTGTGTTACCTCCTCGAGCCATTGTTGGTCGAGCTTATCGGCCATTCGAACGGAGGCTAAAACGGTAACAGCGAGGAGAGAGAGTGGGAGCGCGATTGCAAACACTATGCTGGTGGTGCTGGGGCCCGCACGTGTGACCACCGCTGAGCCCCTAGATTTCCGGCCACCGGCGGTGAACCGAAGCGCCGGTGAGTTGGGGAAGGGTGGGACCCTCAAGGAAGCGAATGCAAAGGGGTGAGAGATTGTTGGATTGGAGAAGCAGAACCAGGTCGCCATCGTTATTGCACTGTAGTTTAGCTTTTCTATATCCTCCTCTTCGTTTTATTAGTCATTTATTTTTCTATTGTTTTATTGGTCATTTTAAGTATAGATAACGGTATTTATGTATAAAATATTATAAATGCCGTTTAATTTAATTTTTAAAATCATTAGTAAATATACCGCGTGTTATACAGATTTATATAAATATATTTATATATTTTAGTAGTTAATTTAATTTAAATAATAATTATTTTTAATGTAATAAAAAATTTAAAATTTTGATTAATTTTTAAAATAAATTATATATAAAAAATAAATATGTCAGTAAAACTTAATTTATACGTGACTTTAAACATTTTAATAATTTAGTTATAAATTAGTAAATATATTTATGTGTTATACAAATTTGTTTATATTTTTTATTAAATTTTTTTAGTTTAAAATACACAAAATTATAGTTTAAATATAAAATTATATAATAATAAAATTTTATTATATTAAATAATATCAAATATAATTATATTTAAAAATATAATAAATATATTTTTATATATAAATTTTTTTGTATATTTTATATATTTTTCATTCTTTTCAATAATAATTGTTATTTTTTTAATTGATGTAAATATAAAAATAATTTTTTTAAAATAAATTAAAGAGAACATGAAAATAAAAATAAACAGAAAATTTTTTAATTATTTTTAAATATAAATAATATAAGTCTATTATATTATTGTTGTTATTAAATATTTAAAAAAATAAAAAATACATAATATATATATATATATATATATATATATATATACACCAATGATTACAAATATAATAAAAAAATATTTTTAATAAACAATAAATTTTTATATTATACTCTAGTAAAATTTATTTAAATGAAGCTTAATTTTTACTTTTTAAAAATTAAAATAAATATTAACATAAATTATGTATAAGATTATTAATTTATGATTTTAAAATAATATATTTAAATTTAACTTATAATAAATAAATATATATTAATAATTTAAAAAAATTAACTTTTAAATCAATATTAATTTTAAGAAAATATATCATAAATAATTATATCAATACAAAAATATATATTTATCTTAATTTATATTTTAGCTATAATTTAGTTTATAACTAAAGAGTGAATTATAATAATGATTCAATTTTCTAAAAACTTTTTTGAAAGCATTTAAAATTTAATTCTAATCTCAAAACAATTTCAATAATCACATAATTAGAGTATAAAATTTAAATAAATAAATATAATTAAAAATACTAATATTAAATATATTAAAAAATATTTTTATAATATTTTAAAAATTAATTCATATTTTTATTTGAATGTAAATTTTTTTTATAATTGTAAGAGAAATATTTAAAATATTAAAAAAATATTAAAAAATTAAAGAGCTTTGATTCACTGTTAAAATAAATTATAAATATAAAAAGTAAATATTTAAAATATTATTATTTATTTATTTATTTATTATAGTATAAAAATATTAAATATACAAATCCAACAATTATAATAAGATTTTAATAACAAATTTATATATTACCTTTTCATTATAATGATATTTAATATTATTTAATATTATTTAATTATTTTAATTATTATAATTAATTACTTTTAATCTAAAATTTAAAATCATAACCATTAATATAATATTTAAAAACAAACAACACTACTCTTAAAAGTTAATTAATAAATAATTTTAATTAAATGATGAATAACAAAAAATTAAAAAAAATAATTTACTATATCACTATTTGATTTTGTCATAATTAAATTTTTATATAAATTTTTTTTGAAATTGTTATACTTAAAAAGATTACAAATTTTGTAATATCAATATTTTCAATAATATTCATATAATTTATATCTCAATATTAAAATGACAATGAACAACTAAAAATTTAGTTAAAAAAATAAAAGTATTATTAATAGCTATCATAATAGAAAAAAATTAATATAATTTTTATACTTTAATGAATCTATAAAATTCGTAATGTTTGATATGTCAATATTAACATAAATTTTGTAAATCTAGATGTAAAAATAAAAACATCACCTATAATACATACTTGATACATGATATTACTTTAAAATAATACAATTTTATGTTTATTTAGTAAATAAAAAATTACTTTTATATAATTTACTGCAATATATATATATAGAGAGAGAGAGAGTTAGAATTCATTGATACTGTACAAATCAATAATCTAACGGTTGAAAAGTTATTTGTTGTTTGACTAAAATAATAAAGTACAAGTGCTTAGAAAGAGGTAAATTTTTAATCGTTAGACTATTAATTTGTACCATTGAAATTTGTTGTAAGTTTTTTAAATTTATACATAGTGTTAATAGATCTTATCCTATGTATATATATACTTGCTTAAACAATCAACTCTTAAAAATTTACAATATTGCAATACACAAATACAAATTAATATGATATAAAGAATTATTGATAAATTTTTAAGATTTATGTAAGAATTACTTGTTATATAAATAAAGATAAAGATATGTTTCGTAATATATCACAAGATAAAAAATTAATTTAATAAATATTATCTTTTTATCTATATTATAATTTATTTATCTTTTTATCATAGAAATAATTTAATAATATGTAATACAAAATTATAATATTGTGAGTGTGTATTTTTTTTATTTTAAATATATTTTTATTTTTAATATACATATTTAAATGCTAAATATATTAAACTAATTAATAAAATTATTTAAGTTAATATCATTTAAATTTAAATAAGACGTAAAACAACTTATATAATTTTATTTTCAATAAAATAGTAACGCAAGAGGTTCGTTAATTTTTCTCAAGGTTATTTTTGTATGATTTTAAGTAATTTGTTTTATTTTTAAAATTTATGGTGAGATTTTTCACTTTTTTTTTTTTTATATAATCAAGTTTAATAATTTTTTATAAAATACAATTTATTGCTAATTTGTTATTTTCATTCTTAACATTGTATAACTATCAAAGTAAAATTTTTATATATATATTTAATTTTAATAATTTTTAATTATAATTCAAATATAATAATTATGAATAAATTATAATTTAAAATTTTAAGATATGTGAAATATTGTAATTAATTTCAATAATTTTTTATTAAATATAATTTATAGTTAATTTATTATTTTTGTTTTTAATATACACCAAATTTCATTTTGATAATATGTGTGACCAGAATTATATGACTTTAAGTATTTTAAAGTTTTTAATAAATTTTTATTAAATACAATTCATTATTAATTTTTTGTTCTATTTTTAATATGTACAATCATCCATAATAATCATTCATATTATTAATATTATATGTGACTTTGAATATTCCAAAGTTTAATAAGCATAAATTTTATTGTAAATATATATTAATAAATAGGTTTAATTAATTTTACATAAATTGATTTATAAATTTTAATTAAAAAAATATTTTATAAATACTATAAAAATAATCAAAATTTAACAATATTACATTTTATTTATTATTAATATATTTAAAAAAATTTAAGAATTATATTTATAACATGATATTTTATTATTTTTTAAATATATTTATAAATATTTTTATTTATAAATTTTAAAATATGACATATATGATATGTCAACTCTTTGATATAAGTTTTGATAATATAAATTTATACTATTGTAGATTAATTTAGTTAAAGAAATATTAACGAATTTGATATAATTTAATCAGTTAAAAATAAATTTTAATACATGATATTACTTAAAAATAATACAGTTTTATGCTTACTCAACACATTAAAATAAAATATATGAATATAATTTAATAAAAAGAAAATAAAAAATATCAATATTAATAATATATATATACTTAATTAGATATATAACTCTTAATGTTGACATGATTATAAAACAAAGTAAGATGATAGAAAGAAGGTAAAATTAGTCTTTTTATCCTTTAACTTTTTAGGATAAAATTCGCTTTTGTCCTCTAACGTTTTTTTTTATTCATTTTTGTTCTTAAATTTTATTTTATTTTTCTACGTTAATCCTTTTTGTTAACTCTATTACCTAACAAAAATATTATAAGTGGCATTAAGATGGCATTAATTTTGTTAACTATTCCTACTTGAACATTTGAATTGGAAAGTCAACAATACCTTGGAGAGGTTGTCTCACTTTATCATCCCTCTCTCAAGTCTCAATCCTCAATAACATTCCTCACTTAAATCCAGCTTTGGTGAAAGGGCTAGACCACTCTCTATGACAAATTCATGATGGCTATGGAGGAAGGGCACAAGAGAAGTGGTTGCGAAGTCAAATTCAAATTGGATGAGAGTGAAAAATAAAGAGACATATTTTGTTCTATTTAATATTACAAGTCATGATACTGTTGTAAGTTTTAATCTTAATAAATCAGTCTCTTTGTTAAGAGAAACTTCTTTCAGCTCGCAGATAAAATTTTTGACGATGTTCTCTTATCTCTAAGTAGTCATTTTATCTGTAGATCCCTTACCGTTAACATTGTTCATGGCGAGAATGTCTCAATGAAAGAATTTTACATCATAAACAAGCTTGCTAGTGTTCTAGTTTCTTTATTTGCATTGCAGAAAATTGTCCTAAATGGAGGAATCCCTACATAATAATATGCAATTTTGTTGGATTTTTTAGTTGTCATTTCACCTAGGAAAAATTCTCAAGTTCGACCTCCTAATTGTCATTTTCGGTATAGAAAAAGGTCTACCCATCATGTTAGGAAATATACTCATCTTACACTTGTAGCTTTATCTCTCTCTTTTTCTCCAACTCAATGAAAAATTATCTCCAAAATTTTATTCTAAACATCTATTCAATCATTTGGTTTAATGAATACATCAATTCTATTGCCTTTCTCTCTCTTCATATTTAAAGCTTGCATATTGTTTATGATAATACCAACATTTATTTTGTCCATCCATATCATCAAACATGTGAATTAATCTAAATATTTTAAATTTTAATAATTATAATTTTTGTTATAAATATATATAGTAATAAGTAGAGAAAAATAATATTTTATTTCTAGTAATGTAACGTGCATATCACTAATAATATAAATGATTTTAATCATTCTAAATCTTTATAATAATAAAATTTGATATAAATATATAGAGTAATAAGTAGTTATAGTTACCAACATTATAAATGACTCTATAAATTCCAAAATTTAATAATCATAAAATTTGTTGTAAATATATACAGTAATAAATAGTTATAGTCAATTTTACATATAAATATATAATATAGATGATTTATATATTTTAATTAAATTTAATTGTAATAAAAATTTTATGAGTGCTATAAAAATAATCAAAATTTTATAATATTATATTAATTACATTTTATTTATTATTAGTATGTTTAAAATTTCTTTAAGAAATATATTTATTACATGAAATTTTAATATTTTTATAATTATTTTTTAAATATATTTATAAATATTTTTGGTTATAAATTTTAAAATATGACTTTGCAACATAAATTGTGTAAAGTAAAAAAATTTCATTTAGAAAGTTTCAAAAGTTGTGTATGATAAAAAAAAATTATTTTTTATTATAATTTATTCATTTTTTTTATCATATATGTAATTTAATAATTTATAACATAAAACAATAATTTAAATCAATATATTTAAATTTAAATATAAGATATAATTTTATTTTCCTTTAACATATCACTTGAGTTATTTGGAAAAAAAATATATATATCACTTGAAAACTTCATTCAATTTTTAAGAAATTTGTTAATATTTCTTTCATTTTTTTAATATTTCACAATGAATTTATTTTTTAATATTTAATAAATTTAAATAATAATTATATAAAATTATTTCTAATAGAATTTCTTTAAATGCAATTTAAAAATAATAAATATAAATAATTGATAATTTTAATTTTTAAGTTATAGAAAATATTATAATTAATTTCAATAAAAAAATCACTACGTATAATAATACTATTGTAAATAAATTTTTGGTATTTATAAAAAAATGAGAGTGAGAATATTAGAGAATAGTTCTTTAAATTTAGTCATTAAAATTTTTATGTATTAATTACTTATTGTGTATGCAATTTTCATTGCAGGATGAGAGACAAGACAGGTGATTACATCTCTAAACTAGTATTTACACAGTTTTTACAAATTTAGAAAAAGTTAAATTCAAATTATTAGAGAAAAATTCACTTATTACATCAATTTAAATTAATATTTGACATTAGTTGATTAAGCGATTTAAAACTTTTTGTTAAAGTCATTATATTATTTTAATTTTGTAATTATGTTGTTTGTTTATATAATTTGGAAACCTATTTTTTTTTTTTTTATGATTGTTCTATAACTATATATTTTACAATTTTTTCAAATTTACATATAAAATTATTATTAGGTGATAGCTTTACGTTGAATTATTGTTAGCACTCAATTATTATTAACATGCAAAATTGCTAACAAAAATAGCACATAAAAAAATTTGCAATGTTAAAAGTTAACCTGGCACAAATAAGTCCCACATTAGACGATTCTATCAATACGTTAGTTTCAATACTTTATAAACCTTCAATGAACTATGAACTTTGCTGAGCTAAGTGACGTTAGCCTTCAAACTATAGTGTTTTTTTTCTTCCCGTACCACTCCTCACCTTTTCCTTTCCCACTCCCTCGTTTGGTCCCTTTCACAGTTTGTGACTCGCAGCATCACCATCACCATGCTCGGCGTTTCAACCTTTCAGCCACCGCAACTCAACCCTTAGAGTGCTGAACTAGTTAATAAAGGAAAAAATTAATTTTTAAATTATAAAAAATATTTTTAAAGATTAATCATAAAATAATTCATATTTATAAATATCAATAATATATTTAATTTTATTTAAATTAAAACTTTGTATTTTATCAGATAAGTCTGGACTAACCTGGTTGAGTCACTTGAGTGAGCATATTTTGTTGGCTCTACTTCTACTTCTAAATCTTATAAAATCTAGTATAAGAAGTTGTGACGCCAGTTGAACTTGTTGTATGCCTACCCTATTGCCATGTGTCCAGTCCCAAATTGTGGTGCATGTTAAAGCTACTTATCAAGTGTAATATCAAATATTACAGTTAGGGTGTTTCATGTCATATTTTGTTATGTAGCTCTGCTGCTTTTGCTGCACACATTTATTTTACTAATAAACGAATCTATTTCAATAATTTATTTAGAATTATCATTATTTCGGTATTTGATTTCTTAAACTTCGTTATTATAATACAAAATTTCTTTTCTGTGTTGATTATTTATTAATTGTCTAACAATGTATAAAATTGTGAAGTTGTTTCTTTAAAATTGATTGAAAACTTGTGTTGTTTAGATAAAAGGTTTTCCAAATATGCTTAAAACTGAAAGAATCACAGTGTAATCAACCCTTTTCTTATTTTATTTTTTTGTATTCCCAAATATGCATTTGTAACATTAAATTACACTTTTTAATAATCATTTTTCAATATATGTTTAGTTCAACTTGTTTTTAAAAATAAATACTTTTTTATTACACTTCCTACAAATACTTATTATTATTATTAACATTAGAAGTTGAATTTAAATATTTACATTACTTAATATTCTTTTATAAAATATAATATTTGTCAAGTCAATTGTTAATTTGAAAGTTCTTGTAAAGTAAATAAAGTTTATAAAATTTTAAATAAAATAAAAAAATGTTGGATAACGTGTTATTAAAATACAACTATCAAATGTTGGATAAAATTTTTATAAATATCAAAATTATGAAAAAGTTTATATGCATAATCATAAAATTAATATTACATTATTCAACAATTGAATTAATTAATCTTTACATTATATGAAAAGTTATTAAATAATTTAAATGTTTAAATTTAACAGTAAATATCAATATAATAAATCTTATCCTACAAGTCATGAATATTTGAGATAAAACATTATGCCATATGATATTATAAATTCATCATGTGACCATTAAAAAGCTTTTAATCTTGATGTTATGTGCATATTTATACGGTTAAGATTTATCCTGTCATGTTAAAAATGTTTTCTCACTAAATATGTCCCCAATATATAGATAGCTTGCTACATTAAAAGATTTTAAAAGCCACGTGCTCATTACAAAAGAGATCACGTGACTATAAAATTTCACGTATAAACAACTTATATGTTTTATTCATAACTATTAATGATGAGATGTAATAATCAAAATTTATTCCTTTTTCTCTCGATCCATCCTCTCTCTATTCAAGCACATTTTTGGCCACTAAACAAATTTTATGTCAATTCTTAGTATAAAGTGTGAAACTCATGAAATTCATTTTTAGGAAAATGTTTTGAGAAGAATATGCCAGAAAGTTTATTGCTAACATTCGTCGAAGAAAAATCATGCACTATTTATTGCTCTAGCAATTCTACGTCTTAATAGCTTTTTGAACGAAACAGGCCTTTATTAATGTTCATATTATTCCCTATTTAACAAAAGCACATCAACCCATCACATCAAACTTAACGCTTCATGCATACTAGCATAGTAGCTAAACGAAAAGTTAACTATCGTTCATATTGGGTTCGTAGTCAAGTTACTCAACTTTATGTCAGTGATATACATTTAATTTCCAAGCTATAATACAAGCAAAAGTTAACTAAATGTGCAAAAACTTATTTCTCAAATCAAAAGGTAACATATGGACAACTTTTAAAAATTCCAACACATTAATGATGTACATTACTTAATATTGGAGAGAAACACCCGTAGGTCATTGCTTAATTTGAGAGCTTGATTGCAAAATATAAGGAACAAAATAAGGTGTACAGTTGCAAAAAGCCTTACTGTTCAGCATTGCTCAAAGATCTAGCCAAGGCTTCGGAACGCCAAAAAGATCTAGTATTTCCCAAAGCACCTAAATTCGGCTGGCTCAACTTTGAGCAAAGTTGTGATGAGGTCTATTTCCTGGAGTGTTGATAAAACCTCTGGCCATGAAACATGTCATCCATTAACCCCAAAATGCATGAGACCAACCCAATGTTTTTTTGGTTCTGTAGAGGACTAAAATAAGGTAAATGCTGATACAGCTCAGTGAAATAAATAAACTTTATACCTGAAGGATAAAGAAAAACCCTAAATTTCAGGAAGTATTTATTTCTCTTCGGAAGATGACCTTAAAGTATGATAATCATTTAGTCTATGCAACCCTTTTGAAGCTCAAGGATAACACAAGTATCATATACTCTTGAAAGTAAAACTGGCTTCCCCCAAAAATCCAGACAAACAGTTCCATTCTGGCATATCAATAATCACCAGTATACACGGAAGAAGAAAAAATCTATAGCCCACAAAAGAAACAAGTCAGAGTATGTTCAAATGGTTATCACGGGACAACATACCTCTTCTTACTTTTCTCCCTCCCCCAGTAATGACCTGTTTGATGATCATTCCTTTGAAATTTAGAACCATTATAGCCTAAAGTATCTCGATTAGAGCCTTCCCTCCACCAGTAACCCTGATTCCAGGCAGTCCAACCACCATAATTGCTAGTAAATTGCAAAACACTTGAAAGCTTGGCATTTTTCTGTTGCTTCCACCCTGACACATTTTCCCCACTGTTTCTCCAACCGGTGTTTATCGAAGTTACATTCTGCTGGCTAGATTTGAATTGCCAAGAGTTGCCAGTGTTAGCCAAATTATTTGACGGTTGCTGACACCAAGAACTATCCGTACCTTTACCCCATCTTTTATCCTTCTGAGAGTAACCAGTGTTCCAATCCTTAAATTGATAGTTATGGTCCTTTCCTTCATTCCAACCCCATGACTTAATGGGACCACCTTCACAAGCATTGCAAGTTAATCCATCATTTCCACGAGTAATGTTACATTCCCAGGGGTTGTGAGTATCATCCACATTTCCAGAATCCCCCTGGTTCCACCCTTCTACCTCTTTATTTTCTAAGGATCTGCTATGACGTGAACCAGTACATTCCCAAGGATTTGCACCATCAACTGAAGTTTTTGTTCTTTTGTTTTTAATGCCATTTTCCTGTTCCTCATCAGGCAGAGTAAAGAATGCATCATCTAATTCCTTAACTAGTTCAGGATCAATACAAGGGTTCCAATCTATTTGATCAATATATGTATCTGGATCAGGCAGAGAAATTTCACAGGGAAGGCTGTTGATCTTTGCCCAGTAATGTTTTTTGGCATTCTGGAATGCTTCTTCAGCAGATGAATCATTCCAATTAAGCACATTACTGTGGCAGTATATAAACTTCTTAGAATCAACAATCTTCTGCCATGGTACATATCCAACAACAGTGCAGTACTTCTTCTCCCATAAAGGTATTCCGTCCTGCCAAAACTCTTACAAGATTGAAAAACAGGAAATTTAGTATATTGAATATTGAAGTTACATTGGCAGAGGGGACAGTAAAATAAATAAATAAATAATAAAATCACCATATCATCATTGAAGTTACTTTCTCAGACATAAAGAAATGCATTTAAAGAAAAGGTCAATGCCCCTTTTGTGTTGGTAAGTGTTGACTCAAACCACTACAAAAGCTATGGGGAGAAAGTATATGAAAATATACAAAAATGTTCTGAACTTTTTTATTGAACTTTTGACAACTCGCGACCTACAGAACCAAACCAATGACATGAGGTAGACACCAAATGACCTCTTAAACAAATATGAATATTGAATATGTACTATACATAAAATAATCTTTGCCATGATTGTCCAGCCAGGGTGGGACCTCTTTTCAAAGCATGAGTTTCAATTTTCAACTGAATACTCTCTTAAACCTGGGAACACAGGGCTCTACAATCAATGGAGGGATAAATATCAAACTAAGGGTTTAGAAAAATAATAAAACAAACATTTTTTCAATTAACAGACTCAGTTGTTTGCTACTGAATCCCAAAGACTGGCAATTAGTTATTTTAAAAACTATTCTACCCCTTTTAGCATTACATTTAGCAATTTAAAAGGCTGGGATGTACCAGAAAAAAGTTAGAAGGTTGAGAAATTTGGATTTTTAACATTAATCAATAAGGTGCTAAAGGCAATGTTTACAACTTTGTATACCATAACAATTCAACAAATTTTACCAGTGACTCATGATCATTTTCAAAACAAATTCTCTCTTTGTAATTTAAGATTTTTATTATATGTTATTTCAAATTAGTTTTTGGTAAGTTTCAAGAAATGTACAGAAAAGACAGAATCTGTGATGCATTATTTATGTATATTTCCTGTCAAAGATCACAGACTATAGTAATGTTTACAAGATGGAAGTAAAAATGAGGAAATGAGCTATTGGAGAATGCTCTGCTCTCCCAAGGCCAAGTCCAGTCCCAATTCCAGCTTACCCATCCCATTCACACTTCAATCATCCCCAATAACTCCAGTGTTGTCAAGATGACAAAAGCTTGCAATGCTTTCCCATCTCTCTGATCTTAACTGCATATAGAATCGCAAACATGGAGGATCACATCAAGATCATAATCTTGCAAGACCATGTATTATTTCTTTAGAGAACATCAAACTCTGTCTGCATCCGCAGTAAGCTAGGAAGGATCTTTAAGTGTTTGTCTTATTGTTTTGGGTTCTAGATGAAATAGGAGTGGCATAGATTTTGGGCTTATGAATGCCACACTTTGACCAAGTCTGTGTGGGATGAACACCAGAAGGTCAAGAGACAGGTGCTGAATTTAGAATTAAATTTTGTTGGTCTATTGGCGAAATTGAAGGTTGAGTAGATTTAGGATCATTATTGTTGTTGTTGACAAGAGCAGGAGATGGATGTCTTGATGACTCGAGGTATTTGTACTGTCATGAGGAGAGGACAGTGCAGGTATATATGTTCATAGACAAGGTGCAGTAGACCCTGCAAAGTGGATGAGGTTGATGTAGATGATGGAGCTGTGATAGCTGCAGTAGAAAAAAGCTCAATATAAGGGAAGTGATGCTCATTAAAGAGCACAACCATGGAGACAAATATGCTTCCTGAAGTGCTGAGGCATTTGTAGCTTTATGTGTGGACAAATATCAAAGGAAAACTGATAGAATCAAATATCAAACTCAATATGAAAGAATGCCTCTTTATTGCAGAACCTTAATTCCCAATGCTACAGGTGATCCATATTAGGTAATTCGAGAGTCCTCACTTTCCAAACCAGCCTAGATCTATTCCAGAAAACTCCCCTCCCCTAACTACCCCTGAGCTCTTATTTATATTGCTAAAAGGGATAGCTGTCCTAACAAACTGAATTAGTTAGTTACAACTTATGATTCTTCAACTATTCTTCTTTTTTCTCCTGCTATATACATTTTTGAACCTATTAATACAGCTCCCCCTCTAAAACAGCCACCTTGTCCTCAAGGTGAAAGTTGGGAAACGCTTCCTGAATGCTTGTAGCTGTTTCCCAACTATTCTCATGATCTGGCAGCTGCTTCCATTTGATCAAGACTTCTTTCTCTCCTGCAATATTCTGCTTGTGTCTAACAACTTGTCTGGACTGACTTCCAGCCAAGGTTATCAAAGGCGGATGGTGAGTCATGGCGGAAACACAAAAAAACTACCATAAAATTATGACCGCTGCCAGCAGGTTATGGCAGACATAATAAAATACATAAAAAATATTATATAAAGGTTATAGAAAATGATAGAAAGGAATTAACTCGAAACATAAGTAGCTTAACCCACAATTCAAAACATAACTCAATATAAAATGAATAATTTTGGGTTTTTTGTTATGTTGTCTTCTCTATTTTTATTCATCTTTTCATCTTCCGGTACTCTATTGTGAGTTCTGTTTTTCTTTTTTGTCCCACATTTTTTAGGATTTTTAAGGGTAAAAATGACTTTTCTCTTTAAAAAATAGCTTTCCCTTTTTTCCCTCAAAATAACCATGTTTTACGCTTTTTTAAAGGTAAAATAGTCTTATCAGACTACATCCCTAACCCATTTCCTTCTCCACTTTTATTCGTGCTACCTTCTCGAATATCCATCTCTTTCTGTTTTTTTAGTAGACACATTTGTCTCTGGTTTGGGGGTGGCTCCCTTCCCTCATTTGTCTTTGTTTTGCTTCCGTCATTAGTCGTCGGAGATGGAGCAGTTGTCGCTGAAACTATAGCACCAACAATTACCAAAAAAACACAAGTTGAAGAAAACTCAAAACCCAGTACAAACAAAAAGCAGATGGAAGCTGAACCACGAATGAAGAACACGAAGAAGAGACAAATGAGAGACGAAGAAGAGAAGCAATGGTTATTTTTAAGGTTGGGCTTGCGGTTCTTTTTTTCTTCACCGGGTCGGGTCCGCAGCCTAACTCATTTTTTCTGCAAAATCACCATTTTCCACCATGGCCGCCTTCATCGCCATGGCACACCCACTGGAAAACACCATGCTTGTAATGGAGAGCATAAGAACCACCACCAATTCCTATTATGGCAGCATCATAACGATTATTTGATAACACTGCTTCCAACTAATACTCAACGGATAACATAGGGGGCAAAGGCTAAGCTCTTGTAGTTGGGTAAAGGTTTTAAGCAGTGATACATGAAAAACCCGATGTACATGACTGTTTTCAAGGAGTTGCAATCGATAAGCCACAATGTTGTCAAATAACAGTTATGGTGTTGGCACAACCAAAATTGGTAGTTTTCAAGCATTCCATTATGGTCACAGCATTTTATAGTGTTCTTCGATGGCGGTGCCATGACAGTTGTTACATGCTTGGCAGTAAAGGCGGTTATGGCGAAAAAATGGCATTTTTTGCAGAAAAATGGATTTGAGCCACAGACCCAACCTGATTCAAAGAAAGAACCCACAAGCCCAAACCCTGATATATGTTGCTTCTCTTCTTCATCTCTCTTTTTCAATCTATCTTCATTTCTGGATCTTTTTGTGCTACCTTCCAGCTTCTGCTCTTCGTCCTCGTTATAGTTTTGAGTTTTTTTCAACCCATGTTTTTCTACTGCAGCTCTGGCAACTGCTACCTCCATCTCCGATGACTGATGAGAAAATAGAGGACAGATCAAGGAAGGAAGCCACCCTAAAAACAGGGAAAGTGTCGTGCTCACTAAAAAAAACAGACACACATTGATATATGAGCGTCGAACAAAGAAGTGGAGAAGAAAATGGGTTAATGATATATTCTGATAAGATTATTTTACCCTTACAAAACTAAAAATAGTCATTTTAAGGGCAAAAAGGAAAAGTTAATTTTTTAAAGTCTTCTTACCCTAAAAAAACCCTAAAAATGCCTCATTCTAGGGATAGAAAGGAAAAGTAGACATTTTTAATGGCCCTGTTGTGCTATGCAAGGACATAACCCACCCACGGCATAGCAGAAGATGAATTAAAACAGAAAAAATAACCAAACAGAAAACCCAAAACTTCTTATTTTGTATTGAATTATATTTTGAATTGTGGTTTATGCTACGTATGATTTGAGTTAATTCATTTCTATCACTTCCTATAACCTATAATATTTTTTATATATTTCATTATATCTACCATAATTTTCCCATAACCCACCATAGCGACCCCCATAATTTTATAGTAATTTTTTGAGTTTCTGCCATGACCCACCTTCCACCATTGATGACCTTGGTAAGCCACCGGCCCAATTTTTTTTGAATCTAACAAGGCCAATAAAACCTAGGAATCAGCTTAGCATTAGGCCTTTTAGCTAAACACTTTCGTCCGTAAGACTGCAATTTCAAAAATACCCAATCACCCACTTGAAAAGCATCACGTCTATGCTTATTGGCCTGCAACCAAATTTGGTCTTAAGCTTTACACAAGTTACTTAGCAATTCCTTCAAGATCTCATCTCTTTGCTCAACCTTAGATGGAACAGTCGTCCCTTTTAACAAAGTGGGGGGTCTTGGCCAATGGCCATACAAAGCTTTGAATGGAGTCGTCTTGGTGGAAGCACTGTAATTGGTGTTGAACCAGAATTTTGCCCAACTCAACCACTTAGGCCAGTGTTTGGGTTTAGAACCCATCATGCAGCATAGATATGTTTCCAAACAGTGGTTCACTACCTATGTTTGACCATTAGTTTGTGGATGGTATGCAGTGCTCAATTTCAAGTTGGTGCCAACTTGTTTGAATAACTCCTTCCAAAAACTACTCAAGAATACTTGATCTCTATCAAAAACAATGGTGCAGGGAAAACCATAGAGTTTTACAATTTCTTTTACAAAGATGAGTTACATCCACTGTGGTGAATGGATGATTGAGTGTCATAAAATGGGCATATTTAGCAAGTCTATCTACTACTACCATAAAGGTATCCCTACCTTGAGTTTTAGGTAACCCAAAACAAAATCCATAGAAATGTCA